CCGCTTCCTGCCCCCCCCCCCCCCCGCCTCCCGAGGGCCCTCGAGCGGCCTCGGGGGCCCGCGCCCGGGCGGTTGTCAAGGGCCAGTGCCGGTGCACAACAATTTGCCGCGTCCGCGCCCGCTCGATCAAAACGCAAGAGGAGCGGCGCCAGGCAATGGACTGTCCTGGACGCTGCCCCCAGAAGTCCAGCCTCGCCTCCAACCCTAGGGGGCCATAGTGTTCTATTATGAGCACGTAGAGCAGCCTGCGAGCATCTTGGCGCGTCACGCGCGAGGATCGCTAGAAGAAGGCAACTCACGTTTGAGATCGCAGCTGTCGTTTGAGATCGCCCCACGACGGGGCTAAGCTACAGCTGCGGCGGGCGCAGTCGGGCCGCCGCCCCGAGAGTGCCGCGGCCAGCCCGATTGCGTTCGGCCCCCCTCCAGCCCCGCTGGCTAAGCTACTCAGAGAGGCAGCTCAAGCCAGGCAGGAGGAGGCCGCCTCACCCTGGATGAGCGGAGCCACGCCATCTTTCATTCTGCCCGGGGTCGGGATCGGGCTCCCGCCGAGAGCCTCAGGCCCCTAGCCTTGTGGGTCGAGACGTGGCCTCATGCCTCGTTGGAAGACGGCTCAAGGCGACCCTCGCACCCTCTGCTTCAGGATAGGCCCGCACCATGGGCGAGGCCAGCCGCTGTCCTGGGGTTTCTCTACACCAGGGATGGCTGTGCCTAGTCGCCCTGGCGTCGCTTCGGGACTGCATCTCGCGCGCGCGTGTGCATGTGCGCGCAATGTCTGCGCGTGTGTCAGGCACCCCGCCTCCGGGGGAAGGTGCAGTCTCCTCTCCCGCGGACAGGGCCCTTCATCGCCCTCTTCAGCGTCGGCAGCGATCTGCCGTGTCTCTGTGGCCAGCTGTCGCGGCATCGGCCGCAGTGGATGAGATTGGTGGCTCAGCGCCACGAGGTTTCGGGTTAGGGTCGGGTCGGCCATCCCTTAGCCTCCCGCATCAGCCAAGCGATGGTCCTCCTCCTCCTCCTTCACTTCCTCCTCCTCGTTCGTCTCCCTCCTCGGCCGAGGTGCCTTCGGCCGCCGGAGCAGCGGGTGTCGGACGCCCGTGTCCCACTCGGCCCCCTGCCCCTCGTCGTCCTTTTGCTTCTCGCTCGTCCTCCTCCTTCTCCTCCCTCTACCTCTTTTTTATTTTTTTTGTTCTCTCTCTCTCTCTGTCTCTCTCTCTCTCTCTCTTTCCCCCTTTCTTCCAATTCACGCATTTCCTGCTCCTTTTCCTCCTCTCATCCCTCCAAGCCTTCCGTTCGCGGGTTGGGGGATGGAGAGGAGGATGAGGGGGACGGACAAGATGATGATGACAATGACGATGATGGTGATGAGGACGGTGGTTTTGGTGTTGGTTTTGATGATGACGATGGGGAAGAGGAGTAGGAGAAGGAGGAGGAGGATCTGTTGATTATCGCTGTAGACTTCTTTATTCTAAGAGTTCTGGAATGTCTTCGCGCCGCGCCAGAGTTATCCTGGGGCCCGCGGGTCCCCCGATAGAAACCCCGGAACGAAAGATGAATGGGATGAACCGAAAGCGAATTTGATTTACCAGTGTTTCTTATTATCACAGCGAGTGTCCAATGGGAAAGTGAGGACCGCATGCCCTCGCCAAAATGGAAGTCTGTGGGAGGGCATGAGCGGTGATGAGCTTGTGGCCCTGTCACTGATCCTGGACTTTCGGGTTGATTGGTCAGTGGCGTGGTCTCGAGGAGTTAGTGATGTGTGCCCCTTCCCCCAGTCCTTCAGCGTTGGGCACCTCTGGGGGTCCCGGTAGCGTGAGCCAGAGAGGGTTGTGCACGCGCGAGCTCGTTGTCTGTGTTCGGTGCTGTTGCCCTGTTCTTCTCTGCCCCGCCCCTTCCTCCTCCCTCATTCTGGCACGTGGCCCGCACCGACGGCCCGTTCTTTTGGTCAGCTTCTCCTCTCGCCCCAGGGGCAACGATAAGGGGGCGATGGGCTGTGTGGGGGGGGGGCACCGTCGACCCTCGATCGCCCATTCATCGCCGGCTGGGGCCTCATAGCCCATCTCGCCCAGGAGCGCGTGTTGTCGTCATTGGGGCCCTGTGGCCGATCGATCAGCGATGTATCGCCGATTCCTGGTCGATGTTTCTCCCTCCTGAGCTGGTCCCCCCCACTCGTTCCCTCTCATCGCCTCTGTCTCTTGTTTGCTGGCTCTTTCTTCTCTGTCTTGAGTAAGGTGTGCGTAGATATCGGGCTGGAGCGCCGCTCCTGTGCTGAAATGGGATGCAGTGGTTGGGCGGCCCCATGGGAGATAACGGGCCGTGGGAGGCGGGGGGGGCGCGTGCGACTGCGAAACGGAACCGCCTCACCCTTTCTGTCTGTTGGGGAACTGTTGGTTTCGGGGTCCTGAGTTGGTAGCTAGGGCGTCAGGGGCGATACTGTCGTTTTGAAAAGGATCCACCACATACCATTTCGGAGTTGTTGGATCATCATGTTAGTGAAAGGAGTAGGGAGGAGGGTGGAGGAGGGAGGTGAAGAGACCAGACAGGCAGAGGGAACAGCATGGAAGAGGGCTATGGGGGCATGAGTAGATACCAGAGGTGTGGCCAGGGCAAGACGGCGCAATGTTGGCAAGGCGGCGCCACCGCCAACAGGGATTGGGGTGAAGGGTCGAGGATATCATGGACGATGATGATGGTACTGATGGTGATGCTGATGATGGTGATGATGATGAGGATGGATGCTGAAGATGATGATGATGATGATGATGGTGATGATGATGATCATGATGATGATGATGATGCTGCTGATGATGATGATGATGGTGGTGATGGTGGTGGTGGTGATGGTGATGGGGAGGGTCATGGTGTTGGTGATGGTGTTGCTGATGATGATGACGATGGTGGTGATGATGATGATGGGCGATGGTGCTGATGCTGGTGATGATGCTGATGATGATGATCATGGTGATGCTGCTGCTGATGCTGAAGCTGATGCTACTGTCGATGATGCTGATGATGAGTAAGAAGAGGATGGGGAACAGGAGAAGGGGGCGTACGATGATGATGATGATGATGATGATGATGATGATGATAATGATGATGATGATACTGATGCTGATGCTGATGATGCTGATGATGACGCTGATGGAGATGCTGGTGATGATGAGGATGAGGATGCTGCGTGTAATGATGATGGTGAAGCTGATGACGATCATGCTGATTATGATAGTGGTGCTGACGATGCTGATTATGATAATGATACTGATGATGATGATTATGATGCTGCTGATGATGCTGATGTTGGTGCTGATTGTGATGATGGTCTTGATGATGATTGTGGTCGTGATGATGCTGAGTATGATGCTGATGAGGATGACGATGCTGATTCTGGTGATGCCGATGATGATGAGGAGGATGAGTATGGTGCTGAGTATGATGATGCGTGTGATGATGATGGTGGTGCTGATGTTTGTGCTGTTGATGATGATAGTGTTGATGATGATGATGCCATGATGATGATGACGATGCTGATGCTGATGATGCTGATGATGATGGTGATGTTGATGATGGTGATGGTGATGGTGATGATGCTGGTGCTGAAGCTGCCGATGATGATGATGATTATGCTGATGCTTATGATCATGCTACTGCTGAGGCTGATGCGTATGAATATGCGTATGATGCTGATGATGATTCTGATGGTGATGGATGATGATGATGATGATAATGATGATGATGCTGATGATGATGATGATGATGATGATGATGATGCTGATGATGATGATGATGATGATGATGGTGGTGATGCTGCTGATGATGATTATGATGATGATGACGATGATGATGATCATGATGATGATGATGATGCTGATGCTGATGCTGATGCTGATGTTGATTATGATGATGATGCTGCTGATGATGATGATGATGATGATGATGGTGCTGACGATGCTGTTTGGCGGAGGGTGCGATTCGATGCAGCAACCTTGGCACCACTTGACCCAGTGTCGGTGTTTGTCGAGCCAGCTGGCACTGGCCGAGCTTCGAGCTCCACTCGTGCGTTCGCTTGGCGATGTTTGTTTAGTATCCATCCAGACGCGCGACAAGTCAGATTGCCAGCAAGTTCATTGCGTCAGGCTTGCCATCAAGCCTTGACGCGTGGCGGTCCATGTTTGCAGCTCGCGTAGCGGTCCATGCTTACATGACGGTGCTGTTGGTCACAGCCCCTTCCCGAAGCCGACCAGCATCCGAGATGCCCGACTGGTAGAGTAGCAGGAGGAGAAGGAGGAAGAGGTGGAGGATGAGGGGAATAGTAGGTGGTGGGAGGGGGATGGAGGGACCGACAGGTGGTGCTAGGAGAAATAATGAGAAGGAAGGACGAGGAGGAATAGGGATGGGGAGGAGAGGAGGAGGAGGAGGAGGAGCAGGAGGAGGAGCAGGAGGAGGAGGAGCAGGAGGAGGAGCAGGAGGAGGAGGAGGAGGAGGAGGAGCAGGAGGAGGAGGAGGAAGAGGAGGGGGAGCAGGAGGAGTAGGAGGAGAAGCAGGAGGAGGAGGAGGTAGACGAGGAGGAGAAGGATGACGAGGAGGAAGAGGCGGGAGGAGGAGGATGAGGCGGCCGATGAGGGAGGAGGAGGATGAAGGAGGAGGAGCAGGAGGAAGGGGCCTGGAAGGCATGAGGGGGCGACGGAAGAGCAGTCGAAGGAGGGATGAGCAGGATGAGGAGGCGATGAGGGAGGATGATGAGGAGGAGGAGGAAGAGGAAAAGGAGGAGGAGGAAGATGGGGTCGACGGCACTTTGTGTGGTTGGGGTTTCCATGGTTCGTATGTGGTGGCTACATCCGCTCTTGGCCGGACAGCGGTTTGGGCTTCGGTGTCTTCCTCTCGCATGGCTGCCCTTGTTCTAATCGATATTCGTAAGCGGAGTGTAGCTTCGGCGTGTGCGCGCATGCCGTACAACGTGTGTGGCGATTGTTCGCGTGGGGCACCAGGGTTGTCGTGCCCCTTCTGAGGATATCGTGGCGCTCGAGGGGGAGATCAAGACGTTGGACGAGGCCCGTGTCGAGGAGCTCTGGATGTCCCCTCACTCCCTCCCTCCCGCGTCTCTCTCCTCCCCTCCACCCTCTCTTTCCCTCTACGTACCGTCTCTCCCCTTTGCCCTCCGTCTCCCTCCCGTCCGTGATCTTCCTCGACTCCGGCCAGCGACCTGCATCTGGCAGGGTCAAGCAATGTCAGCTGGCACCCAGACATCTTCGACTGGGCGCTGGTCTAGGTATGCGCATACGTGTGCTCACCGACGCCCGCGCGTGCACAGATGGAGCTGGCCAGCCTTGCCTCACGGCAACTGTCAGGAGCGCGGTGGCAGGCAGACGGATGCATTGAAGCCTGGCCGAGGAGGCACGCAATCTGGCCGGGCTGCCTTGATCTACGGCTTTCGCGTATGCCTCGCTGCTGTTTCCGCCGACTCCGACAGGAGAGCAGCAACCGAGGCCTCCCAGATGAGGTCGAACTAGACGGAGGATCGCGCCTCATCGCCCATGTATCAGCAGTGCGGCTCGATGCGGAGCCCGATTTTCTCCGCGCCGACGTCGCCGCTGCAGCGCCGACGTCGCCGGTGCATCGGCGATGCGGCGCGATCCTCCGACCCCATCTGCTCGGACCCCATCTGGGAGGCCTCTAAACCCCCGAAAGGAGAGCAGCAGGGGAAGGAGAGATAGATAGAGAGAGAGGGCACGGAGCCCAGGCGCAGCAGGAAGAGGCGGCATAATGGGGCGCAGGAGCAGGGTGGCAGAGTGACAGCAAGGGGGCAGTCCAAGGGACACCCAACGAAGCGCAAGCTGGACCCAGGAGCGAATCTGCGTCTGGAGCTGATGGGAATAGGGGGTGGAAGTGAAGGAGGAATCTGATATGACATGCTCTGACTCTGTCTGCTTTGCATGACATCTCCCACGGTTGGAACACGGGCCCTGCTGTCATTTGGCGTGCCGCCGTTTCTGGTAATTACTGGTTGCTCGAAATTGTCAGGTCGTCTTTTCTGTCACACGTTTCCTCGCGAGGCTGTCATGACGGCATTGGCAGGGCTATCTTGGGAATTTGTTGTTTCGTCCGAGTAGAGAATTTCTTGAGCGAGGCGTGCTTGACGTGAATATCTTGCCTGCGCGCACGTAACTGGCCAAATGTGCGGTGCGTGCTGGCTTCCTTCGAAGTGGATCGTATGATTCGCGCAACCGATGACGCCCAGTGCGAGTCAAGCATTGTCGGCGGCGCAACCTGTGATTGGACTAGTCCATTACTCACGTCGTCACATTCTGCCCTCAGCGAAGCCTCGCCTTCGATAAGGATAGGGGAGGGGAATATGAGGGAGAGGGGTTTGAGGAGCGGGATATCGCGCTCTGCCAGCGTGCGTGGTCCGAGCAGCCCGTTGGGTCCGTTGACGAAGTTCGTCTCGCCGAGTGCTACGTGTGCGTCTCGAAGTCGCCAGTCTTGTCGAGGATGAGGCAGAGGCGGGCCCGACCCACTGTCCCTCTGCGCAGGTGAGGCCTTCCCTTGCGAGGTCTGTGCTCACCCTCCTCGGTGCCGTTTCGCCTTCCGTCGGTTTCTCACCCTTGCGCTGCTTTCCGATGACAGGTTTTTCACATCACAGTCCAGCCTGGCAAGCACAAAATGGAGATGACATCCGCGAATCACTCGACAGTGTCCTCTTACCCCCTTCCCGAGGAGCACGAGAAATATCAAGCCGACAACGCCGAGATGGTCGCCGCCATCGATGCGTGCGAGCGCGCCACCGAGGCGCTCAAGGATTTCCCCCCCCTCCACTTTGCGCCGGAGAGGAGGAAAATGAGGAGCAGGTTCCCCCCCGGGGGCAGGTACGCATGTACACCTCCTCCTCGGGCTTACTCACGCCGCATCCGCCGACCCCTTGGGACCAGGCTGAGGCGCGTCATGGTGTTTCGGGCGCTCTTTATCTTCTCTGGGCGGGGGTGGTAGTGGCTGTGGTAGTGGCGGTGGTGGTGGTGGTTTGTGGTGGTGTTTTGTGGTGGTGGTGGTGGTGGTGGGTTGTGCTGCTGGTAGTAGTGGTGGTGGTTGTGGCGGTGGTGGTGGTGTGGTAGATTGCAGTGGTGGTGGTGGTGGTAGTGGTGGTTGGTTGTTGTATCGGTGGTGGTAGTGGTGAGTTGTTGTGGTAGTGGTGGTGGTGGCTGTGGTGGTGGGGTGGTGGTGGTTGTGTGGTGGTTGTGTGGTGGTTGTGCGGTGGTGTTTGGTGGCTTGAGGTGGTGATGGTGGTGGTGGGTGGTGGTGGCGGTGGTGGTGGTGGTGGCGTGGTGGTTTGTGGTGGTGTTTGTGGGCTGTGGTGTTGGTGGTGGTGCTGGTGGTGGTGGTGTTGGTGGTGGTGCTGCTGCTGCTGGTAGTGGTGCTGGTGGTGGTGGTGGGTGGTGCGTGGTGGGTGGTGGTGGTGGTGGTGGTTTTTGTGGTGGTGGTGATGTGGTGGTTTGTGGTGGTTGTTTTGGTGGTGGGTTCTTGTGATGGTGGTTATGGTGGCGGTGGTGGTGATGGTGGTGGTAATGGTGTGGTGGTTTGTGGTGGTGGTGATTGTGGTGGGTTGTAGTGGGTTGTGATGGTGCTGGTGGTGGTGGCGGTTTTGGTTGTGGTGGTGGTGTTGAGGTAGTTTGTGGTGATGGTGGTGGTTGTGGTGATGGTGGGTTGTGGTGGTTGTGTTAGTGATGGTGGTGGTGGTGGCGGTTGTGGTGGTGGTGGCATGGTAGTATATGATGGTGGTGATGTGGCCGTTGGTTCTTCCCGCCACTGTGTTTTGGCTTTGGGTCAGAATTCTAATGAATGCCTCTTGAGGTCTCGTCAGAAGGGTCTCGGGGGCGTCTGCGGAGGATGCGAGGGCTCGATATGGCGATTCGTGCGTTCCCTCTGCGTCCTCTGGGCCCTCTCTGGTCATCGTCGCTGCGTCCCCGCCGTCGGCGCTGCTGGCCGCCGCCAGCGCCGGCGCCGGCGCCGGCGCGGGGGGTGCGGGGGGGTGTTTGAACCCCCCCCCTCCTGGGCCCTCGCTGGTCATCGTCGCTGCGTTGGCGCTGCGGTGGCCGCCAGCGCCGGCGCTGGCGCCCGGGGGGGGGTTTTGGACCCCTCCCCCCCTTTGGAAGGAGGGGGGTCGGGAGTGGGGGGGGTTAGGGGGGCAAGCGCCCGTGAAACGCGCTCTCTCGCAGATACGGAGTATCTTTCTTTGCGCCAGTCGTGGCATACTCCGGGCCCGTCTTAAGAGGGCGCGCTCCGTTCTTGCCCGCGGGCACTGGTGAGATGGAGGCACGACGCAGGGAGCCAGGGCGAAACTGCAGCATCCTGTTCCGCCATGTCCTCTTCGACCTACCGCCTGATATGTTGGCTGTTGCGTTGCATTCGAAGCTTTTACTGCACCTTTAGCATCATGGCTGTAGAGCGTTACCGCTCCCATACAGAATGTTGTATCAGTGTCATGTTAGATTTTGGTAGATTCGAGTCCATAGTCGTTCACTGTGCACCGTGAACGCTGAGAGATGAGGGAGGAGGCGGACACCTTTGGAACCGTCGGACCACAGAATTTGACCTCACCCCGGGGCGACACCAAGAAGCGTCGATGCGCGCGCGCGCGCCCGCTCACGCGCGCGCAGCAGTCCAGAGCGCGCCGCCTGCCTCGCCGTCGACGCTGCGACCATCAGCCAGATCGCCGACGCTGCTCATCCTCCCCCGTTTTGGAGCGCCGTCCAGGCGGCGGCACCCGCAGCCGCCCAGCCCCCCGACGTGGCGACGCTTGCTCCTATTCCCGCCGTTATCGCAGGGCGACGATTTCTGTACGTATCCACTGCCCCGGGCCTGGCCCGTCCATCCTGGGCCCAAGAGTGGTCTATACTTCCTCCTGGCTTGGCCATGGAGGCCTATGCACTGATCGTGGGCCCAGGATGAGCCAGACTCGGGCGGTGGATATGTACAGATTTCGTGGCACTGACTTGAACTCAACAGATGCGCCGAGGGAGGTCGAAGAGGCAGCCCCCTCGTGCACCACGGCAGAGCCGGCTGGTAGGAGACCAGCCGCGTCGTGGGCAGACGTTCCATGATGCCCCGACCGCCGCGTGCCAAATACACAAACCGCGTGGGACGGTCTGCGATCGCAAACTGATTTCGTTCCCCTACATCGCGTGCCAGGCCTCGCCACGTTCCTCGAGCCGCTCCCCCAGATGCGAGCCTCCTCGGTGAGTGCTCCTCCGTCCCGGCAGGGCGGCCGGGGCGCGCGCCCTCGCAGGGAGACAAAGCCCGACCTTGCCATCCATCGCCCTTCTCTTGGTGGAGGGAGGCCTGGTGCGCAGTCGTCGTCAGCTCCATGCGCCCCCATCGTGAGACAGGGGGGGGAGACGCTGACAGACGCAAGCACACGCAGATTTCCATTCGAATATGGGACAATCTGGGAAGTGGAGGGGAAGACGAACATCGATCAAATATTTCCAGATATTGTGGCTCCTAAGTCTGTGTATGTTTTTTTCCGTCGCATTTGGCCCCTTTAGTCAGCCTCCGCACGAGGTTGTCCGCCGCGTCCCCGCAGGCACCTCGCAGGGGAGAACCTCCCGTGGCCATCCCAAGTACTCCGCGCACGTCTGGGCTTGCGGACCAGCCCTGAGCAAATATTTGTCCTGGAAGTGAAGGGTGCTGATGGACGGAGCAGGGTGTTGGGGAGCGGGGGGGCTGGAGTGAGCAAAGAGGTTTGAGGAGGGGGGCATGAGGAGGGAGCAGGGAAGAGGGTGGGTGCGGGGCTTTGAGCAGGGACGCCGCACCAGCTGCAGCATGCCCACGTTTGAGGGGGGCCGGTAGGCCCGACCAGAAGCTACGCCTTAGGCGAAGCACAGCTCCTGCTCTGTTGTATCGTAGTAACGATAGTCCCAGTCGTAGGAGATCGTCGCGGGAGCGACGGGCCATCTCAAGCGAAGGATGTTTTCAGTCTCGGTGATGAATCGCACACCTCGCATTGAGGTGTAGTCAGATATCGGCGGCCGACCGCTTGAACACAAACGGCCGCGGACACACGCTCGTAACCTCTCGCCTGTGTCCCAGCTCACTTTAGAGTCGGGGGGGAGACGAAACGAGAGTCCGCCGCCACTATACCGCAGATACAGCAGATATTCTGTACAAAAGGCAGCGAAAGACGGGGCCGTAAGGAAGGTGGACCCGCAAGCAAGTTGCCTTGCAAGCGCATTGTTGTGCACGTGATTACTCCTCAGGCGGCCACAGGCCAGGATGTTTGGCCAGCCCGATAAAGAGCATGACGCTTTAACTCATGCTTGAAGGATTGCGTACCTCCCATGACCAGTAGGAGCATATCTCTGTCAAGGTTCCCCTTTGTGTGACCATCCGCGGTCATGTCGCGAATGTGACACCACTGAATGTTATGCGCGATTCCTCGCTCCATCATCTGTCGTATCCAATTGATGTGTCTTAAAAGGGGACACTAAGTCGGCTTCTTCAGGTCATTGTTCGACAAGGACTTCAAACATATTCAGGATCTATGGTCAATGTGAAATTGAGGCTTAGGCCACCCAACTCAAGTATGTTTTAGTACGTAATGCACGATTGGTCTTGGCTACTGCAGTAGCCTGTGTGATAGTTTCGATGCATACCCTTCCTATCACCTGTTCTCGAAAACGGTCAGACGTTTCTGTTGGCTGTTCATGATCCAGAACTGGCAGGTCAGGGAGCATTGCCATCCAAACAAAGCATTAGATGGCGACACCTCACTATAAAAGGTAAAAGCACTGGCGACAAGCAGGATTTCGTGCACTAGTTCTGCGAACAGAAAGGGTATGGTATGTCTCACCTTTTGGGCTCAGTTTCAATAGCGTGAAGTAGATGACGTAATATGACATTTCTGGCTTCGATTGTCGTAGCGTGTTGTCCACGCGCGCGCATCCTCAACTCAGTGCCCTTTGCCTTCAGGGCTGCCTTTTGCAGTGCCGTTGTCGAAGGCGCCCTCCCCATCGGAAAGAATGCCTTGGAAGGTCCGAACTGCATCCGGCACTGATGATACGCATCTAAGATTCTATAGGCGTGCGCCACATCCGCCGACCCCTTTGTTCGAAACACGTTGTGGTTTCTCTGGGGTCGCATGCAGTGTCGGCACCATTCTCCTGCAATGTTGCGCGCAGCGTGTGGCCGTGAGGAGTAGGAAGAGGAGAAGGAGGAAACATAGAAGGAGGAGGAGGAGGAGGAGGAAGAGGAGGAGGATGAGGATGAGGAGGAGGAGGAGGAGGAGGAGGAGGAGGTGATCGCGGGGATCTCTTGGGGGGCTTTTCGCGGGACTCTTGGCGGCAGTTTCGAAGCCTCTTGGGGGCCGTTTTGGGGCCGTTTGGGGCCCTCTGGGGGGCATTTTGGGGCTTCTTAGGAGCGTCTTGGGGGCCTCTTTGGGCCTCGTGGGGCCTTCTTGGGCCGTCTTGGGGCGGACGGCTCGGATTGTCGGTTCAAGCTCCCCCTCTTGGGGCCGTCTTGGGGCCGTCTTGGGGCCCTTTTGGGCCGTTTTGGGGGCCTCTTGGGCCGTCTTGGCGCCCTCTTGGGCCGACTTGGGCGCCTCTTGGGGGCCTCTTGGGCCGTCTTGGGGCGGTCTTGGGGTGCTCTTGGCCCGTCTTCAACGCCGTAAAGGCCGACACGTCGTATATGATGAAAATGTACGTTGTCCCATAGGAATTTGATGATTTTCGGCACTTCGGCCCTCAGGAGGGCTGTTCTTGGAGGCCTCTTGGGCCGTCTTGGAGGCCTCTTGGCTCGTCTTGGGGCCA